CCCCCATTGATTGTACCCCCTCTCCTTCTGCTTCTTATTTGCATTGATCATTTTCATTGCCTGAGGCAATAGCTAATGTGCCCGCTCTCGGTATATCTAGTAAGGGTGCCCTCTTGCTGCTGGTTTCTTATTTTGGTAGAGGATATAAAACAGTGTCTGCAGAGCCTGGGTAATACAGTACCTGAATGCACTAGGTTTTCACCTCTTGAAGCTCTGGAGTCAAATCCCAATATGCAAAAACGAGTTAATGATCAGTTCAGTTCCTGGTGATGAGATGACCATTCCTAATGCAGGTAGGTCCACATCAGCCTAGTTCACCTCTTAGTATGGTTAGTACTGTTCAGCCCAGGCTGTGATGGGATTAAAGATGAGTTGCAGCAGAGCTGCATGAGAGAAGTATATTCAGCGTGTTTCTGGTCTAGGACAGTAGAGGCCAGGCATGTGAGGCTCTCCATTTCATTAGCTCCAGATGTCTCTGGGCAAATCACCTACTTCTCATGAAGGGAAACTGTACTCTTCTTGCCCTCTGGCACGTTCACTTTATAGGCGAGTGATCCCTCTGCATAATTGGGAACGAGAGAGATTGCTGTTTCTAGAAAGAGAAGGAATTCAGGTATGGATTGAGAGGTTCTTGGACTTTCTCCGTGCACTCCTGGAATAATCATCTTCTCTGGGGCTCCAGAAATCTAAAGGCCGCTTGAGATGCTTGGGTCGCTGTATTCCTGGCGCCCCTTGCCCTATTCTGCTGCCTACTCTGTACGGAACTGGCTGGCTCGAGGCTCTCCAATGAAAGCCAAGAAGTTAATTGGGCCAACTCTCAGAAATCCCTTGAGCCATTCAGCTTCTGTGGAAACCTTCCAAAAGGAAGAGTAATAAAAACATAGCCTACAAATAAGGACCCCTGAGTTCTTTATCCGTTTCCCCAGTCGTAAAAAGGGGATAATGTCCATCTCTTAGGGTGAGATAAGCAATTGAATCATGAAGATTAGTAAAGATCTTCAAGGGCCTAGAGTGAGAGATGCTGTTGACGTACAAAGTAGTGTTTCTTCAAATTGGACTTGAAAAATTAGCTTGATTTAAATGTTTCTTAAGATAAGGATCTAAATTACATAGTCATGTCCTTTAAACAGCTGCATATTTTTATGCATATATACATTAGCTGCAAAGTGAGAGAGAGAAGCAAATCCTTTCTAAGCTGATTCAAAGCCAAATTTTAATTCAGAGCCTTCATGAATTCATTCTGTAGTGCCAGAAATGTGCATGGTGCTTTAGAGTAATAAAATGTACCATTTTGAACTCTGCTCACCTAATTTGTTCATGGGCAGATCTAGGATTTTGAAAAAAGGCGGCGTAGATTGTATGGTGCCTCGTTATATATAACAAAACACACACTTTTTTCTCCAGCTAAAAAGACACTAGAAACTTTGCCAATAAGCCAAGGTCCCAAGGCTATATTATTTAGTTTAAGGCTGAAGCAAAAACAAATGCAACTTTATTGGAATGTGCATTATCTATGTGGCTATTTCATAAGTCCTGTATAAAAAAACAAGGTAAAAAGTAATCAGAAGTTGTTGTTTCATTAGTCTTGCAGTCATTAGAATTAAATGTACATGTCTCTTTCAGGTTCATAAAACAGAATTTAGCCTTCTTGAGCATTTTGGCAGTGCATCCAGTGTTTCACTGGAAGTTATTTCCACACCTGAGTTGATATTCACCTGAGTTAAGATTTCCATGCATGAATTAATGCTTTTAGCTAGAATCTATAAACAGTCTGCAGAGCTTTGAAATGAGGTACTTTACCAGGAAAAGCTAACAGGCAGCAGAATTGCAGAAGAAAGGATAGCTTGATTAGTGGAACATCCAGACTCTTTAAAAAGGAGGCAAGGTCATTAAGACCTACGGAATGAATAGTTTTGGAGACTGTGCAAACTCCTGGATACCAGCTAATCTTATTGCCTTGAAAGGTTTTGTCTGCCCTGGCTTGTGATATCTAGTAATGGCAAAATATATTCAGTGAAAGAAAAGCTGGTTCCAACAGCGTCCTGAGCATTCCTAGGTTTTACCTCCAGTGTTTCTTCTAATGAACATGCTTTATTTGATATGCAATTACTGTTTCTGTGGGAAGGATAACATTTAATCAGGATACAAGGAATACCATCATTTCTTACATAAACACACACCTTTCCCTGAAAGTCAGCCCCCCTCAAATTAAGGTGCATGTAGTGAACAGGAAAAGTAATGTTCTGCCCAGCATAGAAGCACCCTGCTTTGATTCTTTCTCCACAGTGCAGCAAGTGTTGCATTACTATTGAGGCAGCTAAGGGAGCCCTTTGATTTAATGGCTCATTGTTTTTTTTACTCCACGTATATTAACAATCATTTCTTCTAGTAATAGTCTCGATGTTCCACTAATTTAGCTGATCTTTCTTAGGGCATTTTTACTGTCTGCTCCTGGTCTCTCTCCTCCTATTTCACAGGCCTGGAAACACTATAATTTTATGTTGAAAAAAGGTAAATTCATAAAAAATTACAGTTTGAAGAGTCGTCAGGAGGCCACATCTAGTCCAACCCCCTGCTCAAAGCAGGACCATCCACAACTATCTCATCCCAGCCAAGGCTTTGTCTAGCTGGGTCTTAAAACCTTCCAAGGATGGAGATTCTACAGTCTCTCTGGGGAGCCTGTTCCAGTGCTTCACTACCCTCCTCATAAGAGTTTTTCCCCTAACATCTAACCTCAACTTCCCTTGCTGCAGCTTGAGCCCATTGCTTCTTTTTCTGCCATTTGCCCCCACTGAGAACAGTCCAGTTCCATCCTCTTTCAAACCCAACTTCATTCCCCCCTCAGTCTTTTCTTCCCCAGACTAAATAAACCCAGTTCCGTCAGCCTCTCCTCACAGGTTGTGCCCCAACCCCCAAGCCATTTATGTTCCCTTCCACTGGACTCTCTCCAATTTCTCCGCATCCTTTGGGGAAGGGGGGTAAATGACACAGTACTCCAGGTGTAGCCTCACCAGTGCCATATAGAGGGGAAGAATCACTTCCCTTGATCTGCTGACAATGCT